GTCCTCTTGAACCCCTGAACCCTAACCCTGGACCCCTGAACCCTGAACCTCATACAACTCACTCCAGTTGTACCCCCGCACCTAGACCTCGTCTCCAGAATCCTGCTTGTCCTGATCCCCTGTGTGCCTTGGGCTACCCAAACCTCAGACCCTATCTGTTACAGAATTACAGCTCTCTTCTACTTCACATTCTCTGGATGCTGTAAATCCTGACCGTGAACCCCTGAACCCCGCACCTCATACACCTCGGTTAGGTTGTACGCCCATTCCTAGACCTCACCTCTGAACTCCTGCCTACTCCTGTCACTAGTGTGCCTTGGACTACCCGACTCTCAGACCCTATCCATTACAAATATACATCCTTCATCTATGTTCCAAAACATTGAAGGACACTTCTTCACTTTATCCAACGATATGCAGTTCTTACTTCTTACTATGTGGGTCCACCACATACTAATACATCTTGCTGTGCATGGTTAATATGATCCATCTTGCCGTACTGATCTTTCTAAGATCGCGACTCCTGTCAAGCTAACTGAGAGCTCCTCCAGGTACAAATCGCATAACTAGAGTGAAGAAAATTTGGTGGCTGTGTCACCAGTCAAATGGTAATGAGCTGTGCAGAAACTGAATTGAAAAAGGCTCAGAAACAGTTTCAGCAAGTACAAAATGCTAAAAAAAAGGTTAGCGAAAGAAGAATAAAAGCCTTTACTCAATGAGATGAAATTAAATTTTAAAAAGAGCCAGAATACACAAGCTTATAAAAAAACATTTAAGCTTATAGTTATAAGTATTAAAAGGCAGGTAAAGTCAGAAAAAATTAATATAAACTAGAATATTTTATATACTAGACTTATAATGGTATATTGAGCCACAATAATGAGCTACAAAAAGTACTGTTGAGCCACAAAAAGTTCTGTTGAGCCATATATTATGTTGAGCTGTAAAGTCATGTTGAGCTAACAGGTACTTGTGGTTCTCTGCCAAGTTTTGGTTTCCCTATTTGTGATGGCATGAAAAAATGATTGATCTAAAGAAAAGAAGAATAGTGACACTTTAGTATCATGAAGGATAACCGTGACAGAACAGTTTAAAGAATAAGGAGTAAACCATTTTCAGAGCATAAAGTCAACAAACAACTTGAAATAGTTTTAAATAATAGTAGCCAAAATTTTCCATCCGTGAATGCTTCCATTTAAGTCAATTAAAATCATGCATTAAACTTATTATCATCTTCCCATGCTCGAACCTGTAACAAATTTGAATGAAAATTCATGCAAAAGCGATCAATCAACTCTTGTGGCATATGCTCCCATTCCAGCTTCAGCATATTACTTACCTCCTATTTAGTTGCTTCACTAGTCCCAACAAAATTATACTCCATCATGAAATCTTTTAAATAATTCCAGCAAGGTTCTATCTCATTTAAGTCGGGGGAATTTGTAGGCCATTTTGGAATACAGTATATATTGTGCGTGGCAGCTTTCTCCAGGTCCATTCGGGCAGCAAGGGTATGGTTTCCTGCATTATCTTCTACTAACCAACAGTGCCGTCCTGTTTGGTTCTGAATTGTTTCAATAAAGGGATAAAGGTACTGATATAGAACCTCCTCACGATATAGAAACCAATCCAAACCCCCTTTCGTACTCCGACCATGAATTTCTTCTCCAAACTCCCAGTATGGTCGTCGGGGCATCTGGCGGGGTTCATCAGGTCCATGATTTGCATTGTATTCGGCGATGTAACGGTTTAGTACTTGTAGATAGGTATTTTCCTCGGTTCCAGGAATTGTAGCATTATGTCGCTGTTGTTCTACCCGCCGAACTCGTTCAAGATTTTCCTAACATAGCTGTTCATTATTTGCTGCCCACTCCTCCTCACTCTCCTTGACCCAAACCCATAGTGGTCCCTTAAATCCTATTGCAATGCTACCTAAAACTATAACACTCAAGCCTGACTTTTTTTTCTCTGCAGTAGCAGTCGCATAAGGGTCTTCACCTTTTTGTCGAGTAATATTTTGTAGCCTTCGTAGTGACCCAACCTCAAATATCATTTCATCACTAAATATAAAAGACTCAATTGGTTGCTGTAATCCCCATTCAACAAGGACTAAGTGGTTGCACTTTTTCTGATCATCTAACAGCGGCTTCGATCAATGCTTGTATCAGAATAGGTTATCATAGTTATTCATCATCCGATATGCGGTAGCACTTGAAATATCAAGTCCTGCCTCCTAATGAATTTCTGGAAAGGTTTGTAGTCGATGCTTAATATCTTGTAAGGCTAGCGCTTTCATCCATTCCAAGCCCTCAGATCCAGGTGGATACTTTTGTGGAATGGCCGGTGTTTCATGTACTTTGTCACCAGATTCAATTGTGGTAAATAGTGATAGCACATTGCGTGTTCCTGTAGACCGGGCCTAGATATTCTCTTGTTAATAGATTTTCTTTCTTTCCTTGAATGCATGGGCCTTCCACATACCTCAATTCTCTTATAGGTATGTCTAGCAGTTTCCAGGTTAATGTGCAAAGAAGCAGCGATTTGTTCGAATGTCATCTGAGTGCAGATATGAAGTGCAACAATTGCTGCACGTAGAGACTTTGAAAGACTTTTTCCTTGAGGCATGGTGAACTTGAATCGTTGATGAAGTTTCTACCTTATCTTTTGCCATATCACCATTGTTTTCTACAAGTTCTGATGTAATCTACTCATACTACCAGTTTTTCACTTTCCTTGTTCTGAGGAATATAACCGACTTCACATACTATTACAAATGGGGAAACCAAAAATTGGCAGAGAAGCACGAGTACTCTTTAGAATGCTCCCGGTTGTGGCCGAGCAGCCAGGGATTGTGGTTATTAGTCACAATCTTGGTACAAGTATTCTAATAAAAAAATTCAGAGGATAAAAAAATATGTGTTTGGTAAATGAAAAAAAGAGTAGTCATATAATACAGCTTAGGATAAGTACTCAAAATAAACTACATGGTACAAAAAGGTTTTACTATTTTGCTACCTTCCTACTACTATATAGCAAAACTACTGCCACCATCTATTTAACCTCTATATTTTGATCTTTCCTACTTATAATAAGAAAATAGGAAACAATTAGCTAGAGATAGGGGTATGCAATTTATTATTATATAAATTACTACAAACAACTTGTTATTTGAAAGCTCTGAAGTTTATACTTTTTCTGGGTGATATCTCATACTTGTTGTGCACCTAGTCCTACTATAAAAATATACAATAAAAATTTATAAATACAATAAAAATATATTGTGATTTGGTAACATGTGCTGAACACACCTTTATATAAAAACTTTAATATGCTAAAAAATATACTATAAAAGTCACTTTTATGCTATAAAAATGACATGCCGAACAGAGCCTTAGTTTAGAAAGCGCGAAATGGAAAAAGTCTGGCGAACGTGGCTCACAGAATGTGAATGGGATTAGCAGCAAAGACTTTGCCAGACTTTCCCCTACCCCCTTTATACTATTCCTATTATACTTTCCTTCTCCCTTCTTTCTTTCTTTATGTCTTTCTTTATTTTATTGTCATCCAGCTACTATCGTATTGTTGATCATTCATGCCATTATTCTCTTACTAAGGGGTGCCAAGCCATATTTTCCGGAAACTTTCTTCACGCGGGTGCCTGGTTGAAAGCTATGGCGTACCGGTACCGGCTGCCGGTACCGCACTCCACAGTACAAGTACAAAGAGGCGGATCCCAAGCAAAGGGGTGCCTGCTGACAAAGCCCTTGGCAGTATGATCCCCCTACTACCGGTGTACCGTACTCGAGGAACTCCCGGCACACAAGAGCTGACAGTAAGGTAGCTTATGACACATTTGCAGAACGGTCTGGGCAATACCTACGTGCGATAATAGGTATAATATCAAGAACTACCGCGACCACAACTGTGAAAGAGCTTTTATGCTATCGGTACCGGTAGTCCACTTGCAGTAGAGAGAGAGGGAGGGGGGGGGGGAGTAATAGCTGCAACGGTGGCTGTTACCTTAAATGCCGTACTTCTAGCTTCTGATCTGCCGATGCGTACGGTACTGCACTTCTGCTCGAGTACCGGTACGGTACTGTACGGTACAAGTACAGCCTTTATATGCCGCTGGCTGTAAAGCTATCGTGCTGTGTGGAGCAGGTCGGGAACAAATAATGGAGCCCAACATTTTTCTTCCCTTTTGACAGGGCGGTCCCGATGGAATCGGACGTGTCGTTTTCACAAAGGCCGGGCGGAGGTGTGCAACGTTACCTCTCTACCAGTGCCGTATCACTCCCGAAGCCCCATATGCTGACTGCCGTTCTGCCGGGATCGGAGGATCCTGGAGCTGGAAAAATACCGGCACTGGCAATGGGTATTCGTGGGCGCGCATTTTCCACGCGTTGAAACTTGTTTTTTTCTTCTTCCCCTTCTGCTTTGCAAGACCTTTCTTTAGCCTCGACAAGTCGCCGCAACAAGCTCGTCAACAACAACTGATGCTTCCGGAGCGATAAACATTCTATTCCATTGCATTATCTGGATTATATATCACCCTCCCCGGTCTCGTGTATAGGCCAATCACGTTTGGTCTGCTCGAGTAGGATAGGCGGCACCTGTTCCCTCTTGTCCACCGTCCCAAAATTCGTCGCGCTGGCTGAACGGGCGAAGGTTGGGGAAGCCCGAGGGGTTGCCCATGGGTATTCTCCGCTGTCGTCACCTGGCCAGTCGCCGCTAGCCAGTCCGACGACTGGCACGGTCACCACTGGGAGACCGCTGCCTAAAACACCGGGCGAGGTTAGCTCACCCACGGGTATTGCGAATGCCAGTGGAGATGGATATTTCCCTGTGCCTCCGGGGGCCATCTCACCATCCTCGCAATCACGCAAGCCTTCCACTGCTTCCAACGCCTTGTCTACCCGTTCCTTCGAGTTTGCCCCTCATCGTTCTCCCCTCCAGGAGCTCGAGCTCGAATTGAAGCATATTAGCCGGGAGGAAACTGATGCACCTCAACTAGGACGCTCCCTCAGTAAAAAGCAGGAGGAGCGTCTTCAGAGGAGTGCGACCGTCACCTCAAGGGTTACAACCCGAGGGGGTGTCACCGGTGCTTCCGCGAGGGAGCACCCTAAGATTGAGGAGGACAGCAACCAGCATCCCGAGACTGATACCAAGCACCACCATCACCGACACAAAATCGCTGACATGTTGGGACATCATTCGAAGCACAAGGATGAGCCGGAGGAGAGGAAGAGGCAGGAAGAGAAGAGCAAACAGGATGGAGAGGGTGGCTACTACGATACTCCATCTCGGGCAGACGCATTGGATGAACCCCAGACTGTTTATCGGACTCCTCCTAAGAACCCAGCACCAATTTCTGGACATGATCGTATTGGTCGGAAAGGCGGTCGTCACAGTCACCATGGGAATCCGCTCCAGCACACCCGCGCGAAGGACGGCGCTGCCGGGGGTCTCGGGGATGTCAGAGTTACTCAGGCTCTCGGTGGAGTGGGTGTGTTTGATCCTCGGGTCGTGCGTCTGGCTTTGGAGGATGTGGAGCTCAGTGATCCAGCCCGGCCGAGTAATGACACGGCCGGGGCTAGTGACGGTATGGCCGGTTTTTCTTATAAGGATTTTTTTTTTCTTCCATTCCACCCGTATTTCCTCCTTTGGTGACGTGTCTGTTGCCTGCCCCACATATTCGGTTTTCCGAGCATATCTCCTGCACGGGATCATCTCGAAGCCCTTCCTGCTACTTGTCATGGCCGTTCTTCTTCTGCATCTACCCCTCGCGATTATTCCTATTCTTCCCTTAATCCTCCGGCGGATTGTCTGGGTGGGATGGGTTGCGTTCAATCGCGGAACCGATGCCCAGAGCACTCCATATACCGCAAGAACAAACAAAAAAGAAGCATGGGCTGATACTGTCTTACCTCGAGGCTATCCCTTCTCGTCAAGTTCCAGTTCCTACATCATTCTCTCCCCAGTTAAACATCAAATGTGGGCCTCTATTGCGGTACACAGGCCTGCGTAGAGATGGTGCGTTTTCGGAGATTTGCACGGCAGAGGAGGAACGAGACACCTGGCGTGGATCAATAATGATTGTTACTACTGATGACCTCTCGGATTACTCAATGCCCCCAGTGATCAGACTATTTGCGCAGCCTGTGTCTGAAGCGGAGATTGGGGAAGCCAATGGAGATACATTAGCAGAGGCAGAAACAGTGTCTGCAATTGGAGAGCCTCTCCCCGTTAAGCCAGCCAAGGAGACCCCTTCAAAGCAAGGCGAGCCTCGCGATGATGATCTCCTTTTGAGAAACGTTGCGACGGCTCGTCGAGTGGATGATGGCGAGAGGCTCGGGAAGTTCAAGGAGGCTGAAGCTACGAAACTACACGCCGAACGAGGGGTAACCTTTTGGAGGTTCATAGTTGAGGTTGAATTGGGTGACGAACAAGCGAGGATTGCGTACCGTATCAATCATGGACCGTCAATCGCGTTTTGGGTACCTGCCCGGGGACAAACCATGAATATAATGTTCCACAGCTGTAACGGATTTAGTTTGAGCGTTAACCCAGATGACTTTTGTGGACCAGATCCTCTTTGGAGGGATGTTCTTCGGGAGCATCGGGAGAAGCCGTTTCATGTGATGCTTGGGGGTGGAGATCAGAGTATGTCATCAGATCCTTGGAGGGAGATTTCAGACCTGGGATTCGTCTAACCGGTATCTGTATTTTTGGCCTCCGTTTCAGTGCTGACGTGGTTTCCTATAAGTTTACAACGATGCTGTGTCCAAAAAGACGGACCATTTCAAAGCGTGGTTAGGAATAAAGACACCGTTTGTTAAGTCTTCACACGAATTCACACCGGAAATGGCCGAAGAGCTCGAAGATTTCTACCTGGAACGATACTGTAAGAACCCTTTGTAGATCGTCCCGTTTGGCCCAAGATCTAATTCTTTATCAGGCATGTGGTTTTCCCAGGGCCTTTTCGGGGTAGCTAATTCACAAATTGCAATGGTAAATATTTGGGATGATCACGACATTATCGATGGATTCGGCTCCTATCCCCACCATTTCAATCGCTGCCCTGTATTTTCCGGGCTTGGTGCGGTTGCTTTTAAGTACTATATGCTCTTCCAGCACCAGAGCATAGTAGACGAAAAAGAGGAGCATGAGCCAAGTTGGGTTCTAGGATGCGCTCCGGGCCCTTATATCGCAGAGCTTAGCAGAAGCTGTTTCATGTTTCTTGGAAGAAAGGTTGCATTCTTGGGTTTGGACTGTCGAACTGAGCGAATGGTATGATCAAACGGACTGTCACCACAGAGCATCGGCTAACTTTTGGCGAAGCGAGATCTCGTACTATCGGAAGAGAGCTACGATTTGGTATTTGAACGACTGACCAAGGAAATTGTTGCTGGAGTGACCAAGCATTTGATTGTGCTTTTAGGGGTTCCGATTGCATATCCACGGCTTGTGTGGCTGGAGAATATCATGACATCAAGGCTTATGGATCCACTGAAGGCTCTCGGGCGTATGGGGTATCTCGGAGGATTTCTCAACAGTTTTGATGGTGGTGTCGAGATTCTTGATGATCTTGATGACCATTGGACGGCCAAAAACCATAAAGCCGAAAGAAACTGGGTTTGTTTTCACAGATATCCATTTTAAGGGCGATCCCGATTGTCTAACTCTGGCTTAGTTTATTGAAAGGCTTCAAGAGTTTGCCGCTGAGAAGTCTGTACGAATTACGATCCTTGGGTAAGTCCTTTCGGCTGAAATCGCCTATTCGTTAGGAAGTTGAGTCCTAACGAGTGATAGTGGTGATGTCCATCTAGCCGGGATTGGCCAGTTTTATTCGAGTCCTAAACTCCATATTCCTAGGGAGAATGATCACCGGTACATGCCGAATGTTATTTCCTCCGCAATTGTGAACACTCCACCACCTAATGGTAAGCCATCTTGAGCCTATTATACACAGCAGAGCCTAAGCAGGTGGCAATACAGCAATGGCGGATGTTCTCAACAAGCGAAATAAGGTTCACCACCTCAACCACGAAACCGACGAAGACATGTGCCCCATCTTCGACACGGACGTTGATGGTAAGCCCCGAAACAACAAACGTCTTCTACCAAGTATGCCTCCTTGCTCCCTTTTGATCCTTATGAGCAAATATGTTGACAATCCCTAGGACGTAACTACGCCATAATCCACGAATACTCTGCCGCCGAAGCCCCGCTGAGCAAAACCGCACAACCCCCCCTCAAACGCTCAACCTTCTCCAAGATCAGAAAGGCCACCTTCGGCACCAAGAAGTCCAACAAGCCGACCCAACTGTCGAACATATCGGTTCCAGGCATGGACGGCGCAAACACGAGTAGTCCGAAAGTCGTTGCTGACAGACTTGGCAGGGACGCGCTGGATGTGGTGTTGAGAATGGAGGTTGATCAGAAGGATCCTGCAGGCAATACGAAACCGTATAGACTTCTTGTGCCGGCGCTGCAGTATGATGGGGACGCAGCGGCTGGGGACGCGCATGACGAAGGCGGGGGAGGGTGGATTTGAGGAGGTTCCGGCGGTAGAGAAGTAGGCGGGCGAGTGGATGGCAACCCGCGGTTTGGAGGTGCTTGTACTATTTTTATTTTTTTCATACTTTTTCGTATCTCTTCCCACGTGGAGATATCTGTTTTTTTCCTTTTTTACTTGGCTTTGCTGCGATAGTGTTATAGTATTATTCGCCTCTGGTTAACTATTGCTTAATCGACCTCATAAAAACAGCTGACCGGTGAAGGCGGGGGTCGGGGGGGAGCAAACATCGATCGATGTGTTCTCGTTGTGTCTTTTTTGCTGTTTTGTTTACGCTGTGCGATTGTCATACTAGTGCCATGGCTGAGGAGGCGTGTTTTGGGTGGATGAGTAGGCAGGTAATATCTCCCTGAACGGGCTGGGGCTGGACTATGGGAAAGCAGTAATGGCAGTTGAAGTGGCGCGGTGCATATTGGGTTACTCGTAGCTTGGGATACACTGGTGAAGTGTATGGCAGAGTGAGTATTTTGATTGAGGGAGGAAGGTGGTGGTCCTATCGTTTCTTAAAGGTCTGATTACCGGTATTGCGGTGCTAGTGAGGCCTTTCCCAATCACCCCTGCGTGCTTGCTTAAGGAGCGGCGATCTGGGAGTCTGCTTACTCTCGTTGGCTCGGTCACCCTTGGTCCGGCTCCAACCTGACTTTTACGAAATGATAGTGGCAGTATAGGTGGTGAGGGCCAGTGGGGGGTAATGATGCTTCTTGGATATATACGGTGCAATGCGGTATGCTTTACGACACCGGGTAAGTCCTAGGGGTGTGCTATGCGCTGGAGGAGGGCGGCGCATGGTAAGTGTGGGAATTGGTATACCGGTAATGAAGATGGGGGAAATATATCGTCAGGCTGTGGTAGCTGGTCAAAGCGGTCTGCCGGTATGCATCCCCGTCCAAGCCACGGTTGGATATCCCAGGCCTTGCTTCCGACGGATGGTAGGACCGCTTTACGGCGTGACAAATATATCACAGTGTGGAAAGGATTCCGAATTGCAATTCCCTGCTATATATCTCTTTCCTCCTCTCCCCCCTCTCTACCCCTCCATCCCCACCTCGCCAGCAACCAAACTATCCTAGTGACAAGCAACACTCTTTGCAGCCCCGGACCCCCCCCAAATGGTATACCCAATCGCCGACCCGACAGCAACGGAAATCATGACCCAACCATTGTACGTCATGAACAACAACCTATCCCCTCCCTCATCAGCCCCTGCCCTCCCCTCACTCCCTTAATGCGGCAAACTCACATGATGAAAAAGCTATAAAAAACCTGCACCCCGTAAAACATTGCTTTCCCAATCCTTCCATTTCTTCTCTTCCTCCCAGCCTCACCAGCCCCCGCAACTGCACCCGCGCGTCCTGGAAGTAATGAGCTCGTTTCTTCGCCTTTTTTTTTTTGGTTGTCACGTCACCGACTGTTCTCGGGAGGTCAAAGTGGAAGCAGGGTGGGGGAACTACTTATCGATAACGCCCCATCAACGCGAGCCTCGTACCGCCGAGCCAAGTCACGGACCAACTCGTAGCCGGCGGATAGCGCGATCACGGCTAGTAGGGAGAGGATTAACGTTGTTGTGTTGCGGACGTGCCAGCTGCGGAACACGAGACAGAGGTCTTTGGTTGACCAGGTGAAGAACCTGGGCTTGTTAGCTAGCAGTGGGTGGGGGGGTGGGAGGGGGGAAGGGGGCTTACATGCTCATTTGACAATTGTGCGCTCCCGGGGATGCATGCATGTTGCTGTTTGCCGAAGCGTGCATCAAGTGTGCATGGTGGTCGTGGGTTGAGTGATCCATTTCTGGTTTTTCCGATTGCGACTATTGTGTGTGTGTGGGTATGTGGTGATTGTTGTCGTGGTGGTTCGATGAAGGTGGAAAAGGGAGGAGGGAAACTATGGGAGAGAAGGGTGGTTGTCAGGGATATTTGGGATATGGCAGGGTGCGGGAAAAGGGTGCGGATGGCCCGTGACGCGAGCACCACAGCAGGAATTACGTGAGAAAAGCGCGCAATGGGACTCAGTTACTCGGGAAATCACTGTCTGAGATTCCTTCTGGGCTTGTGTATTTTGGTAGGAGGGAGGGAATGGCCCAAGTCTTATCACAGCGCCGTGTCGATACTGTATGCTGAATTGTTGCCTGGTAGACGATCAGATCACGAAAAGACCTGAAATGCCATGGTACAGTACCGGGAATAGGAGAAGATGTAAATCGCGCTGCGGGAAAGCCATGGCGGCGGCACCTTTGAGCCTACTCCCGTGCCACCCTGCACCTCACATCGGGGGATATAACGCAACCTGCGACGGCGACACCGAAAAATACAAGTAGAATCCCCGAAATCTCTTCTGTAGAGTTTCCCCGGTTGGTTATTGGAATGTATTCAGAGTGGTTTTCCTCCCGGTTTTCCGGTTGGTGGTGTAGGAGCCTCGGGTGGTGGGGCCCGTATGGGGGGGGGGAAATGAAAAATAAAAAAAGTGTAGGCTGAGTAGTAAGCCTGGATACTCCGTGATCGGGTGTGATTTACAGCTGGATTAGAACCATTTTTAAACCGACTTGAGACTAGGAGCTCTATTTTTTTTTTTTTTTGCTAATATCGTTTGTTTATTAAGTAGGTACAAAATCGCATGGACAGTTGTTTGTGGACAGCACTAGGCCCTGCACCCATAAAGCGATAAAAACCTCCAACTACATAGGGTTTGCGGTTGTAAGTTTACCGGTCTGTATCTTACAGTATTTTACTGTAAGATACAGTATTATATTCCACCGTACTGTATTTTATCATCAAACATGAGAAAGAAACAATCAAAATCTCAGCACTACTGACTTGACCATGAGCTTCTACCAATTTATTTCCCTCTTCCTTGCTCTTTCCCTTTCTCTTGCCGACTTCAGCCCTTTTTACCCTTTTAGCCCCTACAGCCTTTCTTACTCCAGCTCCCATTTCTTCCCCTTATTGCCTTCCTGTGTCATGTCCGGTGCCCCTTCCTGCCCCCTTTCCACTCCTATCCCTTGCTCATTTCCTATGCCTATTACCTGACTGCTGCCCGCAATCAGATCTTCCATACCAGTTTCCATTCCTACTACCGGTTGCCATAATACTGGTTCCTCTAAGTCCAACTCAAAATGCCGGAGTCGTTGTCGCTTGGGCGCCTAGTCTTTAGGAAAAGAATCTGGAGTTACTGAATCTAAGAGTAGAGAAGGAGGACAGTTCCTGGCTATTATAATATTAGTATTCAATTTCATAGTTCTAAGTGATCTTGAAAGAGTAGTAGGATTTTTTGTATAAACATACTTGAATCAGACTCGGATAAAGAAAACTCTTGGAGGTGTTCCGGTGTAGGATTTGGAGACTTTGAGTCCTGATAATGAGGTGTCCGAGTCTCTGAGTCTAGTACTAGGTTTTCTCCTGGTTAGATAATAATAAAAGATAAAAATACAGCAAGAAGTTCCCGGAATAACTTCAACTTCTGCTGATTCTGCAGGTTCATCGGAATCTAAATTCAGAACTTCATCCTCAAGTTCTAATTCATCCTCCCAGGTCAGCTGCTGCTATTGGTACTTTTCTCTGGGCTTTCTGTCAAGGACCCTGCGGTTTAGGTAAAGGAAGGTAAGTTTGTTGACTCGGGCAGGTTGAAGTCAATTGCGGAACTTGCTGTGAATTAAATTTTGAATGGAAAATGACCGCTCGCTTGGAACTGAGTTGGCAGGAGTACGAAACAGCCGAATAGCAATATTGGCAAGTTCTAGTGTAAAGCCTTGCTACGCATACCAGAAAGTAAGCAGGTCCTCGAACTTCCAACTTGCATTTGATACTGAAAATGGACCAAATCTACCCTGATAAGTAAAGAAGTCACGCTGTGCCCTTACAGCAATATCTCGAGAAGGTGCAAACTGATTCATATACTGAATGACTGTATTTTGCTGCTCGATAGTTGTTGGAAACCGAACATTGAGAGGGTTGAGAAAATGGGTGGCCCAGTGAAGTGGCTGAACTTGACGCTTCATGCGTTTATTAAAGAGGTCAATCAATAGACTGGCAGTAGGCTGAGGTTCCTGCTGAGTAGTACCAACTAAGTGGCCTCTGATCTCAAGCCACTGGTTCACAATCTTACCAAGATGTGAATTTTCAGACTCAGAGAAAAGCTGGTGGTCATGGATTGGTAAAATCGAATCTCGTAGCTCTTCCACCTCTTGCCAAAATGATCGGCTTCCTAGTAGATCAATGATGGTATTATTAATACTACTGCGTGTATCTAGCAGATAGAGCTTAAAGGCATCCTTATTTCTGTAAAGGGAGTTGATTGCGCGGGCCTGTGTACTCCACTGTGGTATAACAGAGAGAATCAGAGCACTAGTTTTACCATAAACTGCCTTTTGATTTTCCCATAAAATTGAAAGCTGCTTTGGTGAGGATCGAAAGGTTGTTATGATTAGGGTTATTCAGTACTGGATTTCTTTGTAGTACAGAATACCGAGGATGTTACTGATAAGCAACTGCAGTCCATGAGAGTAATAAGGTACCATTAGTGGTCTTGATTTTTGAAGTCTTTTATCCTCTTCCAATAACTTCCTAACTGCTAACATGGTTGAACATGTATTGGTCGCAAAGCTATTGATTCTCTCCCAATCACCATGGAGTAAGCTATTTATCTTATCCATTACCCATTGAGTAATGTTTTATAATATAAATACCATTGATCCAGCATCCTCAGAACAATAGTAAAATATTCCTCTATCAGTCTAAATAAAAATATTAATAATTCTATTCTTCACAATATCATCACTTTCATCAAAGATAATGTTAAGAAAGTAATTAGACTGTAGAATTTCTTCCACTTCAGTCTTAGTACTAGTATATGCATTATCCAATAAAGTGGTCCATAGCGATTCAACACTTGGAGGCTTATAGGCTGGTGCGATAAACTGTAGGCTGTCTAGGAAGTAGGATGATTGTGCGAGAGAAAATGGTAGGCTGTTTATATATATTGCTAAAGCAAATCTTTTATCAGCTGTAGCCTTATCTACTGGCCGTAGTTTTTGGATCGCCGTACCTAATACCATTTGCCGAGAAACTATTGTGTCATCTACAGATCCGCCAATGGTATTTATTGCCTCTACCTTCTGGATATATAGTGTGCAGTTCGAAAGATGATCACGCTGACGGGTCATGCTACATGCAAAGCTTCTTCCACAGGCCCGGTACTTTACTATCTCCATCTTTACTTCCATTCTTATTAGCATAGTTTTCATTCTAATCACTTCTTAATGGATATTATTGTTTTAATACATATTTTTTTACCATCCTTAGGTTGTAAAATGTCAAATGCATCATGAACTAGAGTATCTTTATTTTGTCCCATAGTGGATGGTTTGTTGTACTTTTCTATCAGTCCGTTTGCTCTGTATTTTTCTCTTTTTAATTGCCTTATACCCCTAACCTTATCACGTACTTGTATGTTTTGTATTGTTCATAATTTACAATACATGTAAAATACGGTCAGAAAATATAAATTATGTATTTTATGAAACCCTAGTCTGAGGGTTGGGTAGCCCAAGGCATACCACGATCAGGACAGGCAGGATTCTGGAGACGAGGTCTAGGTATGGGAGCACAACCGAAGCGAGTTGTACGAGGTTCAGGATTCAGGAGTTCAGGGTCAGGGTTCAGGGGTTCAAGAGGATGCCAGATAATAGAGAATATAATTCCTAGGTACAGGTGTCTGGAGGAGATTCCCAGATTGTGTAAAGAAAGTAAAATATAAAGGGGCATACCTTTTTATATATTAAGGAAATCCTCTATGATCACTAATACAAAAGAAAGTTCTTGGCGTCATGCGCAGCCGCGATCCTTCCATCAGGTTCTGCCATCTTCCGTCGTGCGGCAACGCATCCTAATTACTTATAGAAAGGAAATCCAACTATGCAACCAAGAAAACCACTGTTAGGGGGTAGGTAACTCTAAGGTCAAGCGAGTATATACTAGGCCCGGTAATCTTCTGTCTTGGAGATAGTCAAGAAGGCTCGCAAAGATAGAAGTAAAGTAGAACGAATATATTGATAAGATCTCTTCTCTGGTCGCTGATGATAGACTTAAAGCTAGGGATTTTTTTTCTTCTTTTTTTTTTGTTTGACTCATTTAAATTTTTGTTTATGGGACAAAAAGGCATATGGAGCGCTAGCTATGACATCTAAAACACCGCCCCCCCCCGGACCAGGCCGAACGACAGAGCTAAAAGAACCCTCTGGGGTAGAAAAAACTACTCCCGCCCGTAATCCTTCCCGTGAACTGCTCCACCCAATAACCCCCACCGCCAAGCGACAAAAGAAAGCTAACTACCCGACAGTGAACCAAGAACCTGCCAAAACCCCAAGAACAAACACCTAAAGGCAGAAACCCAAACCGAACCCCTAAGGGCCAACGATCACAACTCAAATCCAGTATAGGAACCCCTAGGCCATATGACGAGGGCCAGGAGGAGGGAGCCGAAGCCCTGGACGCGAAGGGTATAAGGAAAACTACCCCGAAGGCGGCGACCGAGAAGTGAGGAGAGGAGGTGTGTGGCAGGCGTGCCAGCGACCGTGTGTCCTCCGAGACGTTCGACGATTGAGGCAGTAAGGTGCCAGCTGGAGAGGAGGTGGTAGTAGGGTACCTGCCGATCCGACCGTGGAGAGGAACCCTAAGCGAAGCAAGTGTTTTCCCGTGTCTCTCATGTAGTCCCTTGTTCTGGGAGAGATAGCGTCACTATAGTGGAAGGGATCCTACCACCTGCCAGCCAAAGAGGCCCGAAAGAGTAGAGAAGGGGTAGACCCAATTCCGTGAACGACAACTATCGGTAACCATGTTCGTGTCCAACTAGGCAGCCTCTCACGGGGGCAAGAGAATGGAGAGATCGACCGTAGCCTGTAAGCTGTTCTCTCCTACTGCAACTGTAGTCCCGGCCGTCTGTTGAAGGTGGAAAAGGGGGTTGCCGACCATGCCAACACCTAAGCGAGGCGGGGTAGGAAGAGGGGAAACATCACGAAGATGGGAGGCCTCAACCAAGGATTGAACCGAGGGAATCAAGAAATAAATCAGGACCCCAAGGGAGAGGGGAAGCGAGCCCACCTCCTGTAGCCGAGGCTAGATGGAGGGAGATAGGGGGGGGTGGTGGTGCTGGACGATGAAAGCCACGATAGAAATCATGGTGTTGAGTTTTCAATTGCCGGAGGTGTAGCGGAGACGGAGGATGGACTTAACGCTAGGGATTTGTTT